AAAAGCACTTGTCTTTCTTTCAAACCCTGAAATTCCCTGAAGTAGCAATAGTAAGTGAATTCACATAAACACCGCAACGACTTGAGTTTGAACAATTACGGCGTACTGAATGCTCAAAAATGCAAACTATAGTCGCCTTTGTCTCAGAGTAAAGATGCTATTGTTGATATAAGAATGTTGCCGTTGCCCGTTGTATTTGCCAAACTCTCTTATACAACAAAAACATCGTTTCAGTCTAGAATATTGTTAAGAGCTTTTGACTGCCCATCCTTTAACTTTAAACAAAAATTTAGTTTTCTATACAACTCGTCTAATACATTTTTTATCGCTATAGAACGATATTTTTCGATTTCCGCACTTTGATTGACACCTTGAATCTATTGTTGTGTAAATGTCATTACCTTTTATGGCAGTTAATAACTTCAACCAATAATTTCAACCAATGGGAACAACGGCAATAGTTTCAACCAATGGGAACTCTGCGTCGTTCTAAACAACGCCAGATGCATTTTTATTAGCTAGGCCTGCAGGCTCTCTCTCAAATTTCAAAGAGAGTTCAAAGTTAGCCTGTTCGCAGGCTAGGCTTTTCCTAACATTGGTTCCGGACGGGAAAGGTGATCCTATTAATTAAATACTTCTCATTCTAAAATTTGCTGATATTATTGCTGGTAAATGGGTATAGCGTTTCGCTAACCACTCAAGGTTTCTTATTGGGCTTTTAATATGATTCAAAGAAAACGAATCTTAGAACATAGTGGAATATTTCTCAAACAGAACCCAGGTGAAGCACTTCTCGCCATTGATGAACTGCGAGAAATGGCGTCCAGTAACAGTGCTAATCTATTTATGTCAAAGGTGTCAAGATATGTTGGAAATATTGCGAGCACTAATTAATGCTTATTGGAAAAGAATAAGAGAAGAACTCAAGTCTATTATAATTACTGTTGGAGCACCAACATATTATTTTTAATCTTTTCCTCTGCAGATATGCATTAGCCTGAATTACATGCCTTATTTATAGTGAATAATGATTGCGAAACAGGTAGTTCTACGAGTAATGTAAGACGACAAAATGTCATTAACAATCCACATGTTGTGGATTGGTTTTTCACCCAAAGATTAGAAAGCTTTGTAAAACACTGGCTTCACGAAACATTTGGTGCGAAATGGCACTGATAGCTCTTGGATAAACGTCGTTTTGAAAAATATATGTTTATACAAAAAAATACCAAGGTAGAGATAGCACTCATTGTTATGATACTGCTAAACGAAACAATGACCCAGGTATGTGTCAAATTACCCAAACTGCTTTGAAAGGTTTCGTAGCACAAAAATTTAAAGATGAGAATGATTGTTCTTATACAATTGAACTTGACCAAAAGATTGAATGTGGGCAGAGAGCAGCTGAAACAGTATCTCAATATCATGACTGGTTATCATCGATTATGTTATCATCGATTATGTTACTGGTTATCATAGATTATGTAGATCTGCTAAATATGGTTCAACGACACACTCGTTGTAGTACAAGCTATTGCCTTAGAAAAAAGTCATATGAAACAGAGTTGAAATGTAGATTTTATTTTCCTTTTGATATTCGCCCTAAGACAAAATTAGAATTTGAAAAATGCACACTGCAGGTGATAATAAACATTATAGAGCCAGAATTGTGACTAAACAAAATGATTCGAGGTTAAATAAGCATATATCAGCAACTTCAACTCCAAGGATGGAGAGCTAACTATAATATGCAAGTTGTTATTGATCACCATGCTTGTATTGAATATCTCACTAAATATGCAGCCAAAGGTGAGCCAAGATCACCTATATTGAAACAGGCATTCAATTCTATTGTGCAAAATGTTGACAGTAATACAGACCCTCATAGAGTTCACAAAATATAATAAATATGAACTCTGTTCAATTTGCTATAACAGACAAAGTTGTTAACAATGAACTGAAAAAAGTGCCAGAGAATATTATACCACGAATATTTCCAAAATATTCTCCCAATCCCAAAGGTCCAAGTATTGGCCTATATTGTAAATCTCAACTTTTGAGGTATAAACCGTGGAGAAAAATTCAAAATAATGCATTGGGTGACAAAGAACCAGCTGACGAGGTTGTGATTAATTGTTGCCATGAATTCTTACAAAAACCTTATAGGCAGTCTAATGTCATTTAAAGTCAAGAAGCAGAAGATGAACCTTCTGAAGGACAACTCGAGGAGAGTGGATTATTATTATTTTTATTAAAGTCTGTATTGTCTAGAGTCACAACAGACGTGCAACTTTACAAATGTCAAATTCCTAATTATTACAGTTAAAAAATTGATCTATCCTAATTAATTATATGAAAGTTAAAAATAGTTCAAAAGACATCTATTTATGAAGGATCGTTTAAATCGTTCCGTTTTAATTTTAGGTAAAATAAAGTTATGTTCCCTTTGTCTTAAAATCCTTTGTTTACACACAGGAAGCAAATCATGTAGGGCATGTTCTGGATTCGATACGATTTTGCTAAATAATTTTCTGTCTCTCTCCTCGATCACTTCAGATATCTTAATACTCTTTGTCGTAAATCCATAACGATAAGCCCGCCGGAAAAACTTGTCTATACGATCCAAATATTTCTTTTGGAGTGCAGAGCCCCACACTTCAATGCAATAGTAAAAGAGTGACATGATTAGTGAATCGAATAATTTGCTTAGCTGATCTGCAGAGTAACCATAGCATCTACACACTCTCAATATGTACATACGCCCACTAGCCTTCGACAGAAGATCATCGATATGAAGATCCCAGCAACATGGATTTTCCTGAAATGTGACACCTAGTAATTTCAACCAGCTCTTTCATTCAATGCCTACAATCGGTGCCGGTAACGGTTTCATAGAACCATTTCCCACGTTTTAGAAAGATTTAATGTCATTTGATTTGCTTCCGGCCAATTCTGAATGCTTTCCACCTCAGCAGAATCCGATCCTGATTTTACTGGAACACTTGTCGTTATATCGTCGGCAAATTTGACCAATAGGTTGTTTTGCGCATCCATGGGTTTTATATCATTAACCATCAACGAAAATAAGAAGGGATCCAAAACCGTACCCTGCGGTACACCTTTGTTAATATCAACACAAACAGTTTCTATGCCATCAACAACAACTCTTTGTTTTCTGTTGGCCAGAAAACTAATAATCCAGTTTATAGTATAAGAGTTAATTTCGAGTGTTTTCAATTTTTCACAAATAATGTTATGAGATACCGAGTCAAACGCTTTCTTATAGTCAAATGATATTACCCTAACAGATTCTGCACCTTCATCCAGCCACTTGAGCCAATGATGCAAGCACGTAATCAGAGCATCGGTAGTATTTGATCCCTCTTTATAAGCAAATTGATCTCGTCCGATCATGGATTTTAATGCAGACGCATCTCCTGTTTATAAACTACCCTTTCAAATAATCTCATAATGATGTTTGTGAGCGATATAGGCCTCAACTAATTACACTCTGTCAAAGAAGATTCTTTGGGTAAAGGGTTCACATTGGCGAGCTTCCACGTTAGAGGGACACATTGTTGTTCTATTGAGAGATTAAACACTTTGGTAATTATGGGCGCTAAAAGTTGCGCAAAGTCTTTCCATAACCAATATGGAAGCCCATCAGGACCTGGCGCTGTTCGTTTTAATTTCGTCAAAAAACTTATAACAGTAGTCTCATCAATGGTAGGAACACGAGTGCCTACAGGAATTGGTATGAATTGGGGGGATATGTAATTCGTATCCGTGTTTACATTTTGAAAGTACGAGTTAATATGTTGTGGATATCGATCTGAGCTAATATTGCTGTTCTTGCTTTTTCTACCAGTAATTCTATTCACAGTATCCCACCACTTTTTGGATCCAAAACTATTTTTTCTATTCTCATCATCGACGGAACGAACAAGATTTCCACGAATTAGCTCATCAATACGTTTTTGAAGATCATTGTTGACTCTCTTCGCTATATTCTTATTCCTTATCTTACATAAGTGTTTGACCAAAGGAGACATATATATGGTGGGTCAAGTGTTGACATTTTTACTTTAATTAACGGGAAACAGTCATTAAACATGTTTGTGATGGCGTCATTTAATAGAGTAACTGTATCATTGACATTATTGCAATTATGAATGTGACTCCAATCACATGTCTCCAATTTCCTCATCATACTGAACTTCCGATGAGCTCTTACGTCCGTAAAGTAGACATCCTTTCTTTCGGGTTTTATAGCATGTCGCGGAGAAACCATGACAACCAAATGGTCAGATCGTACTAGACCTTCAAAAACCTTTGATTTTTCCCAAAGATGTGGACAGTTGGTTAAAAATACATCCAAAATTTTATGATTTCGGGTAGGCTTCTTGACTAATTGTTCCAAGTTGTGCTGACTGATAAAGTCTTTAGTTTTTAATTGACTAATGTATCCTGGTATAATTATTCTTGCATTGGGCTCAGGATAAAGAATCTGTTCTATAGTTTCAGACAAATGATTTAGTAACTCAGTCTCAGGATAAATGGGGTCAGGTGGGTGATATATTGAAGCTACGTAGTATTTAGTATTAAGTGTTACAATTTCACACCAAACACACTCAAGGTTGTTGTCAAAATCAAGATTTTTAACTTTCCAGTCGTCTCTACACAGAATAGCCACTCCACCCCCCGACCGCGAGTCACACCGGTCTTTTCTGACAAAAACGTAATTGCCGAGACACACCAGGCTTGGCGGAATTTTGTCGTTTTACCATGCCTCAGTAACGAAACAAATATCAATGTTATTAGTGCACAACTCAACGTTTAAGGAGACAGCAGCATCAGGTTTTGCTAGAGAACGAGCGTTAATTGCGGAGGATTATATTATCAGACCTCAACACTCCTTTTGACAACTCTGAACAAACACCAGAGTCCACAATTGACTGGCATCTTGACAAAGCAGTTATTCAGAATAACAAATCCAACAAATGCCAACATGTATAAAAACAAACAAAGAGGAATACACTGTTGATGATCAATATGATGTTGTTGACATCAACAGTTTTAGTGAAATACAAAAATCTGCTGTAGATATTGTTGAGTCTCATTTTGATGATACATCATCCGAGAAAGAGCAGCTTATTATAAATGGTGTTGCTGGAACTGGAACTGGAAAAGGTTAAATTATTAATGCTGTTAGAAATCTTTTGCAAAGTAAAGGTGCTGTTACTGATACCACAGGTAAAGCAGCTTACAATATTAGTGATATAACTGTGCTTCTCTATTAAAGTTACCTATAAGATCAAGAGGTAATAAAGACCTAACAGGACAAAAGTTGTGTAGGTTACAAGAGAGTGTTAATAACATTGTATACATCATTATTGATAAATATTATATGCTTGGCCAAGTAATTTTTGGTTGAATAGACAAGCGTTGCAAACAAGCAAGTGATTCTAATGACAAAGTATTTGGAAGAAAATCATTGATTTTAACTGGTAATCCAGGTCAATTGCTACCAGTAGCAGACAAACCGTCTTACTATGCTAGACCATCAAACGTTGTTGGTGAACAAGCTCATCGATCAAGCATATCAAAGTTGTTAAACTTATTGTATGGCGTCTGAAAAAGTACAGTTCAGAGACTTGTTATTACGACTTCGCAAATGTGACTCAACAGTTGATGACTGGAAGATACGTCTGACAGGTCAACCATCGACTGTCACTAATTTATGTGACTTTGAAGATTCTACTAGACTCTTTTATGTAATGAACAAGTTGTTAATTACAACCTTGAGCAGATAACAAAACTTGAGCATCTAATTGCTCATATATAAATGCTCGCCATTCATCAGCATTGACTAAAAATATATCCTCAGTTGATATGTCTGGGTTAGAGCCTGTTGTGTTTCTAGCAAAGGTTGCCATTGTCATGTTAATCATGAATTTGTGGTCGAGTTTTGTCCACTGAAATTGGGTTACTGGGACAATTGTTGATATTATGTATCAGAACAAGCATCAACTAACTGATTTACTTATTGCGGTGGTAATAGTAGAATTTGAAAAAAATAGAGGACCTGGTTTTAATGAAAACCGAACCATTGTGTAACCCAATATATCCAGACACTGTCGCATCAACGACAGAATTGAAATAGATCAGAGGCAACAATTACCTCTCAGGCTTGCTTGGGCTCTAACAATACACAAGACCCAAGGACATACACTTCCAAAAGCATGGATAGATATTGGCAAAATTGAAATTAAAGAACTACTGGAGTTTCTTATGTTTCTATTAGCCGAGTAAAATCCCTTGCATCTTGTGTCATTGAACCAATGACGTATGAACAAGCTAGAAATCATCAGCTAACTTACAATACAGGCTTGAAGACGGAAACGAGCTACAATCAGTTTCAAAGCCCAGAGACAGATGCCACAAAACCACAGGGAGTCCAACTAAGAGCTGTGTTATGAATATGAATAAAACATATTAATTAAACGTAATATGAATAAAACATCATAACGTAATATATTTAAATTATTGCACTTCCTTGTATAAATCATAAGAGCTTGTATTTCAGTGTAGAAATCTGAATGATCCAGTGTAGAAAAAAGGAAGCGCTTCTAGACATCTTAAAGAAATATACGCAGAATTTTGAAGGGCTTGGAAAGTTGAAAAACCACCAAGTTAAACAGCATGTCGACCCCAGGTATTAAACCCGTTGCCTTCCCAGCTCGACTAGTGCCATATCACTTTAAGGAACGTATCAGAACAGAGATTGACAAGATGGTAGCCCAAGATGTCATTGAAGAACATCCACCAACAGAACCAGCACCTTGGGTGTCAAACGCAGTTATTGCACCCAAATCGGACGGCGCCATTCATATGACCCTTGACGCTCGCAATGAGAATAAAGCGATCCAAGCTTCCAACCTGCCCATCCCAAGGCAAGAAGACATTATAGCTAAACTTAGCGGAGCGATGGTGTTCTCGAAGATGGACTTTAAATCGGCCGTTTGGCAACTTGAGCTCCACCCAGATTCCCGGTACCTTACGGTGTTCCACGCAAACGATAAACTATACCGAAATAAGCGACTCACCATGGGCGTAAAGCCAGCACAAGGAGAACTTAACATGGTTCTTCAACCGCTTTTCGCACATATTCCACAAGCACACCTCATCCATGATGACCTTATTGTTGCAACAGAAACCGATGCAGAACACCATTCCGCGATTACTGCCGTCATGCAAGCCATCACTAACGCTGGTATAACCCTTATTCCAAGAAAGTGCACTTTCGGTGCCACTGAGATCGAATTCTGGGGTTTGCGTATTGGTTCCGCAGGAGTACGACCAGATCCCGCCAAAGTGGAGGCACTAAAGCACATCACACCGCCTCTATCAAAGGAAGAATTGGTCAGTTTTCTCTGTATGATGCAGTCCAATGCCGATTTCATTCCAAACTTCGCACAACACGCGGCCAAACTGAGAGAAATGACCAAGAAAAATAGTCGATTCACATGGACGAAAGAACACCATGCCGCTTACGAAGCATTAATCGAACGATTCACAGTAAATACCCTACTCGAGTATTTCGACATGAGCAAGCCAACTTTCATTTTCACCGATGCACACACTACTGGGCTTGGGGCCATGCTAGCGCAAGGAGATACACCAGAGAGCGCAAGACCAATTGCTATAGCTTCTAGAACAACAAACAAGGCCGAGCAGAGGTATGCACAAATCGACCTTGAGGCCCTTGGTATTGATTTTGCTCTACGACGATTTCGCAACTATATCCTTGGTTCCCCAACCGATATCCAGGTTATAACTGAT